TACCTCAATCCCACTTGGTCCAGGACCAAGGGCAATCCACCGACTCACGGTTCGGGGTTCAAATCGATGTACGGCAACCAACAATATCCATGTACGAATCATCAGTACATGGCAATTCTATCAAAATGCGAAAAACATCAAATTTCTACACCCACACTAGGTAGGTTCGGCCAAACAATGCTTAATTCAAAATTTATTTTTCTAAATTTTCTTTCTCATTTTATTATACATCCTTAGGTTGCCCAAAGGCTAAATAAAGTGCCGTTTTTCCATTTTACATCTTTTAAACGTCGTCTCGCTTAATAATTCACTCTAGGATCCTTTATGACCCTTAACACCATTTATTATTTTTCATTCATTCTTCCACTTTCCAACCACCACACAACCCATCTAAGTACCATTTTAACACTTGAAACATCATCCAAGTAATGCAAACAACCTCAATTCCCTAAACTTCCCTAAATGGCCGAATTGTTACCTATGTAATTCCAAAGGATTTCATTCAATTTTCAACTCTTCCACACTTCACACAATACCATTATACCAACATATAATCATCCAACAACTCACCAACAACATTCTAACACATTTTCAAAATTCAAGTCATGACACCTCAAAATATTCTAAGTTACAAAAATCATATTTTTCCCTTAAAATTTTCATTGCATTTATAGCTAATACACATTATTCTAAGACACATTCATCTAATACCCATTTTTCATTTGAGCTCTCTAACATCACACATCAACAATTAAAGGTTTTGGGTTCATAAATGTGATCTACAAATAAACCATGGAAATGAGGTGGAAACATACTCACAACCAATGCTTGATACTCCTCCAAGACTTATCCAAGCAATGGAAGGCCAAATGACTACATGAACATCACTTTTCTTAAAAAATTTGAATCTGAATTTGGCCAAGATCTCCCCAAAGCGACGGTTTCAAGGCCTAAGAGTGCTACCAATGGCTTTAGGAGGTGTTTTCCATCAAGATTCAAGACAAAAATCGATGGATTCGGAGGAGAAATGACCAAGTTGTGATGAAATGAAATTTTGCAACAAGGATGGTGTTTTTGGGGTGAAGGCCGCGGGTTTTCAAGGTTAGGAGGAGGAGAAGATGATGAACAGTGAGGGGAGGTGATGTGTCTTAAATGGATTTGAGTGGAGTGGGTCCCACCGCCACCTCACGCGATTTCAAATTCATTTGAATTTCCCTCCGATTTCACTAAACGTCCAAAAATTCAAACCTATTTAGAAACTCTAATTTTTAACATTAACCATTCTCCTTTAATTATACTTGATCAGATGAATCCTGAGTTTTCCAGTCGTTCGGAGAAAACACTGTTTTAAGCTGTTACGCGCGCCGTTGGCACGCTTCCCCAAACTAACTTAATTCAATCAAATTTTATCAGAAATCATATTTCCTAGTTCTATAAACCATTTATAACTCATATTTGAAACCTAGAGCTCAAAACTCTATCTGCACGTTTTACGGTGCAATCGTACCGCGATATTTTTATCCGGTGAAAACACTATTAACTGATTTTTCTGAAACTTGCCTATCCACTCAATTTTTCGTTCTGAATCCATTTCCAGGGTTCTTTTTATCATCTGAGACCTTATACTCAATTTCCTTCCTAGGGTTGTGTGCATGATTAATTTACCGTTTTGCCCTTTTCTTTGTATTTTGGCCTAATTTTCAGGATTTTCACTAATCCTTCCTTTTGATTCTCATTTAATATATTAATATTTAATTTAGAATTGCGAGGTGTTATATTCACCCCACCTTTTAGAATTTTGTCTGCAAAATTAATTCATACATGTCCGCTAACTCAGGATACAGCCAGAGAATCTCATCCTCCCGCTCCCAAGTAGCCTCCTCAGGTGTATGTCCTTCCCACTGAATCGTTAACATTGGAATCACTTTGCTTCTAAGTTTCTTTTCATTGCGGTCGAGGACCTCAATAGGACCTATAGGAGTCTTTAAATTCTCTCTAATTTCAATATCGTCCGGTATCACCACATGTCATTCATCCGGAATATAACGCCGCAGCTGCGATACATGAAAAACATCGTGCAGATTTGACAATTGTGGGGGCAAGGCAAGCTGATAGGCCACTAATCCCACTCTTTTCATTATCTGATACGACCCAATAAAATGAGGACTCAGCTTCCTCACGCCCAATGCACGTCCAACACCCGTAACTGGAGATAACCGCACAAATACGTGATCACCTTCTTCAAATTCCAGCGGTCTATGTCTATTATCATAATAAATTTTCTGTCGATTCTGTGCCTGTTTTAGTTTCTCTCTGATCATTTCAATCTGTGCTGTAGTTTCCTGCACAAAATCCGGCCCAAATCTCTCTTTATCACCTACCTCAGTCCAACAAGTAGGAGTACGACATCTCCGTCCATACAATGCCTCATACGGTGCCATGCCCAGACTGGAGTGAAAACAATTATTATACGAGAATTCCACCAGTGATAAATACCTGTCCCAAGCAGTACCCTGCTCCAATGTGCAAGCTCTCAACATATCCTCAAGTTTATGTATGGTCCTCTCAGTCTGACTATTAGTCTGCGGATGATACGCAGTGCTCAGCCTGAGCTGAGTGCCAAAAGCCTACTGCAAGGCTCCCCAAAAGTGAGAAGTGAATTTCGGGTCCCGATCACTAACAATGCTAACTGGTATCCCGTGGAGCCTTACAATCTCCTTTACATATAACTTAGCTAGTTTCTCCGTAGAGAAGTCCACTCGCACGGGCAGAAAATGTGCAGACTTCGTAAGCCTGTCCACTATAACCCAAATCGAATCGTGACCAGCCTGCGTACGAGGAAAACCAACCACAAAATCCATAGAGATGCTCTCTCATTTCCACTCTGGTATATCCAACGGCCGAAGTAAACCAGCAGGTTTCTGATGTTCTATCTTGACTTTCTGACAAATTAAGCACCTCGACACATACTCAGCAATATCCTTCTTCATCCCAGGCCACCAGAACTTAGCTTTAAGATCTTGATACATTTTTGTGGCACCTGGGTGTACAACATACTAACCCTTATGGGCCTCCTCCATTACCTCATCTGCTAACTCTTTGGGCACAACAATCCTGCCCTGGTACGTTAATACTCCCTGCTCATCCAAAGCTATCCTACTCTGCCCTTTCAAGTACTTGATAGTGTCGTTCCGTATCTGAGTTTCTTTGATTTTCTCATGTAATTCATTTTCAACCCGTAAACACCTGAATTCTTCCACACTACCAATAAAGACATACGTCAATTTCAAATCACGGAATTTTTCAATCACTTCATTATCCCACAACATCAGCTGGGACACGCTGACAGACTTCCTACTCAGTGCATCTGCTACCACATTAGCTTTACTCGGATGGTATTTCAGCTCAAAGTCATAATCTTTTAAAAATTCAACCCATTTCCGCTGTCTCATATTTAGCTCTTTCTGATCAAACAAATACTTCAAGCTCTTGTGATCACTGAACACAGCAAACTTCATCCCATACAGAAAATGCCTCCAGATTTTTAAGGCAAACACAATAGCAGCAAGCTCCAAGTCGTGCGTCGGATAATTTTCCTCATGAGGCTTCAACTGCCTGGAAGCATAAGCAACCACTCTCCTCTCTTGCATCAACACACACCCTAAACCTTTCTTGGAAGCATCATAGTACAATTCAAACTCACCTTCTGGATCAGGGAGGGTTAACACTGGAGCAGTAGTCAATTTCTCTTTAAGGTCTAGAAAACACCTCTCACATTCCTGGGTCCATACAAAAGGAGTATCCTTTCGTGTCAATCGGGTCAATGGTAGCACCATTGTGGGAAACCCCTCAGTAAACCTCTGATAATATCCAGCAAGACCCAGAAAGCTCCGGATCTCAGTAATAGTTTTTGGTCGTTCCCAGTCAATAACAACATCAATTTTATTTGGATCTACCACAACACCTCTATCAGAAATAACATGACCCAGAAATTGGACCTCAGATAGCCAGAATTCACACTTTGATGGCTTCGCATACAACTTTTTATCTTTTAATATCTGCAATACAGTCCTCAGATGCTCACTATGCTCCTCTCTGCTCCTAGAATAGATCAAGATATCGTCGATGAACACGATTACAAACTGATCCAAATACGGTTTAAAGATACGATTCATATAGTCCATGAACACCGCCGGGGCATTAGTAAGCCCAAAAGGAATCACCTGATACTCGTAGTGTCCGTATCTAGAACGAAATGCCGTTTTAGGCACATCCTCCGGCTTAATCCGAATCTGATGGTATCCGGACCGGAGATCAATCTTAGAAAACACACAGGCACTCCTCAACTGATCCAACAAGTCATTAATATGCGGCAATGGGTACCTGTTCTTAACCGTAACTTTATTCAATTGCCGGTAGTCAGTACACAATCTCATGCTTCCATCCTTCTTTTTCACGAATATAACTGGTGCTCGCTACGGGGACACACTCGGTCTAATAATATCCTTTGCAGACAACTCCTCAATATGTTTCTTCAACTCAGTCAACTCTAGTGGCGACATTCGGTATGGAGCCAAGGAAATAGGCCCCACACCAGGCAACAATTCAATCGAGAATTCAATCTCTCTCTCAGGTGGAAATTCTGGTATCTCGTCATGGAACACATCCACAAACTCATTAACCACTAGAATGGTCGAAATCTCAATCTCCTTGCCACCCACCAATCCACCCAAGAAAATATAACCCTGATCTTCAGCCTTCAAGGCTTTAACAGCTTGACACATAGACAAAAAGGGAGACGGAGTAACCGAGGGCTTCTCATGAGACAATATTAACCTCTTACCGCAGCAATCAATCATTGCGCAGTTTTGAGACAACCAATCCATGCCCAATATCAAATTAACAGATGCCAGGGGCAAGATAATCAAATCAATAATGTAGCCCATGCCTTCGTAGACAAACCCGACCTCTTTATAAATAAAGGAGGAATCACTAACCTCTCATGTAGTCGTAGTAATACGCATCGGGGGAATTATCCGTGATACTTTTAACCCCAACCCCTTAGCAACATATTCTTCCACGAACGAATGTGTAGCTCCCGAATCAAACAACACAGACAAATCAATATTTGAGATAAAAATTATACCTTTAACCAGATTAGGTGCCTTCTCTGTTTGCTGCACATTTGTAGTGTAAACACGCCCAACTGTAGGAACAGATGGCAAGGCCTGCAGATTCGCAGCCTGCCCAGTATTACTGTAATAATTATTGGCATAGTGCCCCACTTTACCACATTTAAAACAAGCATTTGGAGCCACGATACACGGGCCTTGATGAAACCTCTTACACTTGTCACATCTAGGATTAGAACTTCTATCATTTATCCGCTCCTCTGACCACCACCCCTCTTGAACTGCCCCGGAGGCTGCCTTACCTGCAACCCCCTACCTCTATTGTTATTCTGATGGTAGCCACCTCTGTTATTATTACTTGGAGGACCAGATGTCCTCGAAGAACCAGATTTCAGATATCTGCTATAAACACTTTCAACTCGTTTGCACTGGGTCACTAGATCTGCAAAATTCCTCACTACAGTATTTGACATCGTCTTTGCAATTTTCTCATTCAGACCCCTCTGAAATTTAGCAGACAGAAACTCAGGAGTCGGCAGCACACCCCCATAATTAGCAAATTTCACTAACTCATTGAACTTCGCCATATAGGCATCAACAGTCATGGTACCCTGTACCAATTTCTCAAACTCACCCTGTTTCGCTTCCCGAACATCTCGGGGAAAATACTCATACTCCTCATGAAACAATCGCTCAAACAAAGCCCATGTCAGTTCTTCCCCCTGAATAGTAAAAGGGCGAGATGCGTTGTACCACCACTCGTGGGCATCCCCCTCAAGCATGTAGACAGAATACAATTATCTCTGGGGGTCCTGACACCCCATAACATGGAATATTTTCTCCATACCCATCAACCAGGTAGTCACAACCTTCGGGTCCCTTGACCCCTGAAATGCTGGTGGTTTATGCTTTCTGAAAGTAAGGAGCCTATGCTCATCAGTACCAACAAATACCTGCTCAGCAACCCCAGACGACTGAGCAACAACAGAAGGATCCACAGAAGGCTTTGGGATATAAGTAGGATCAGCAGTGTGATGACTAGCCTCGCCCGACTGACGACTACCACCACTCCCTTCCTGGTGAGGTGTAACAAATAACGTCCGGGTATGAGTCTCCGTAGCCGTATGTGGAGGAGAATCATCCCTCCTGTGCCGAGCCCTGTCTTTTCTCATCTCATTCATGAAGGCATGCATCATATCTTGATTACTTTTCATCAGGGTCTCGGTCATATTTCTATTGGCAGCAGTCTCTTCCTGCAGAGCATTCAGAACTGCAGTAATAGGATCTGGTGCTGCTAGACGCCCTGCACCTCGAGTTCCACGGCGACCCCGTGCCCTACTCATAATATTTGTACATGTAACACAAAGGAATGAGCTGATCAGACCCACACTGAGGAATCACATATACATTAATCATAAACAGTTCACAGATAGCTATGCAACACAAAATACAGTTATACACTATCAGAGTTCCCTTACAAAACTGCTCTGATACCATAAAATGTAACAGCCCATTGTACACCGGTATTGTTAACATTAATTATAATATTAAGCGCAGTTACAATCACAACAATTCATTTATAAAAATGCGAGTAAATTTTTTCTGTTTATTACGCGATCATTTAAAATCGTAAAAAGCGTAATAAATAAAAGCTGTTAACTGTAACTCTTGCGGAATACTTGTTTAAACTATTTTTATATCTTATTTTACTCAATACAATACACTAAGGGGTTCCCATAAACCCACTTAGCCAATTTCTCAATCTTATGTTTTCTACCTATCCGAACATGGTTCAGTTATTATTTTTCTGCGGACACATCGCAAAAGACCAGACCTTCATCTTTAGCTATCTTTTTTTCTTACTTAATTACCTTCCCAATGAGTTATAACACGCAATGGGATAAAGCAAAGGATTTAGAGAAACTGGGGAATATAGGAATACAAAATACGACGAAGCGGGAATGGTAGCTACCAATACCACGCAACGTCCTCGGCATATAAGCCTTTGGGTCTCATCCAAGGCGTGTTCCTAGAACATCAACCAAGGTACCCCTCCCATTCGCATACACCCGAGACTTCCTAGTGTGCTCCTATCCGGATCACACACCACGACCCTAGGTCAACTGGAACTCCCTCTCGGAGACCTATCCAGTGGAAGTGCGAACTTCCCGAATGCTATACTGTCTACTAGCTAGAGACTCGATACATAAGTACCCTCATAAATACTACATGCATGCTCATGTTATTCTACACTACTCATATACACTTCCTACCATCACCCTCAACGGGTATAGCGGAACACACAAGGGGAACAAGCCCCAGTACTAAGAGGTTACCTCAATATGTTCCTCCACTTAGCTCCACAACAGCTTATTTTCCAAACTTGTTACTTAATAAAGTGCCTACACAGAGGACATTCTCAATTACTCAAATATCATACAAATACATGCAATTTACAACCATACAAGCATGATTCAACCACTTACCTCAATCCCACTTGGTCCAGGACCAAGGGCAATCCACCGACTCACGGTTCGGGGCTCAAATCGACGTACAACAACCTACAATATCCATGTACGAATCATCAGTACATGAAAATTCTATCAAAACGCGAAAAACGTCAAATTTCTACACCCACACTAGGTAGGTTCGGCCAAACAAGGCTTAATTCAAAATTTATTTTTTTAAATTTTCTTTCTCATTTTATTATATATCCTTAGGTTGCCCAAAGGCTAAATCAAGTTCCGTTTTTCCATTTTACGTCTTTTAAACGTCGTCTCGCTTAATAATTCACTCTAGGATCCTTTATGATCCTTAACACCATTTATTATTTTTCGTTGATTCTTTCACTTTCTAACCACCACACGACCCGTCTAAGTACCATTTTAACACTTAAAACATCATCCAAGTAATGCAAACAACCTCAATTCCCTAAACTTCCCTAAATGGCCGAATTGTTACCTATGTAATTCCAAGGGATTTCATTCAATTTTCAACCCTTCCACACTTCAAACAATACCATTATACCAACATATAATCATCCAACAACTCACCAACAACATTCTAACACATTTTCAAAATTCAAGTCATTACACCTCAAAATATTCTAAGTTACAAAAATCATATTTTTCCCTTAAAATTTTCATTGCATTTATAACTAATACACATTATTCTAAGACACATTCATCTAATACCCATTTTTCATTTGAGCTCTCTAACATCACACATCAACAATTAAAGGTTTAGGGTTCATAAATGTGATCTACAAATAAACCATGGAAATGAGGTGGAAACATACTCACAACCAAGGCGTGATACTCCTCCAAGACTTATCCAAGCAATGGAAGGCCAAATGACTCCATGAACATCACTTTTCTTCAAAAATTCAAATCTGAATTTGGCCAAGATCTCCCCAAAGAGACGGTTTCAAGGCCTAAGATTGCTACCAATGGCTTTAGGAGGTGTTTTCCAACAAGATTTAAGACAAAAATCGATGGATTCGGAGGAAAAATGACCAAGTTGTGATGAAATGAAATTTTGCAACAAGGATGGTGTTTTTGGGGTGAAGGCCGCGGGTTTGCAAGGTTAGGAGGGGGAGAAGATGATGAATAGTGAGGGGAGGTGATGTGTCTTAAGTGGTTTTGAGTGGGGTGGGTCCTACCGCCACCTCACGCGATTTCAAATTCATTTGAATTTCCCTCCGATTTTACTAAACGTCCAAATATTCACAACCTATTTAGAAACTATAATTTTTAACATTAACCATTCTCCTTTAATTATACTTGATCAGATGAATCTTGAATTTTTCGGTCGTTCGGAGAAAACACTGTTTTAAGCTTTTGCACGCACTATTGGCACGCTTCCCCAAACTAACTTAATTCAATCAAATTTTATCAGAAATCATATTTCCTAGTTTTATAAACCATATATAACTCATATTTGAAACCTAGAGCTCAAAACTCAATCTGCACGTTTTACGGTGCAATCGTACCGCGATATTTTTACCCGGTGAAAACATTATTCACTGTTTTTTCTGAAACTTGCCTATCCACTCAATTTTTCGTTCTGAATCCATTTCCATGGTTCTTTTTATCATCTAAGACCTTATACTCAATTTCCTTCCTAGGGTTGTGTGAATGGTTAATTTACCGTTTTGCCCTTTTCTTTGTATTTTGGCCTAATTTTCAGGATTTTCACTAATCATTCCTTTTGATTCTCATTTAATATATTAATATTTAATTTAGAATTGCGAGGTGTTATAAAAAACCTTGTTTTTAGCAACTAAATAATTCGGCCAAGTAGGGATCAATTAGGGTTAGTGTGTTAAATAATAGTTCAAGACCTAATTAAGATAATAATATAAGGTTTAAGTGAGGTGGACCATGCATAATGAACTAATTAATAATAAAACCCTAAACATGGACCTAATTGGGGTTTAGAAGCACTCATTATATAATTAGTGAAATTAATGAACTAAGACCTAATGTGTAGGGGTGTTCGCGGTCTGGATTGGATCGGTTTTGAAGCAAAAAACCATCTGATCCAAATCCTTCGATTTGGTCATTACATCATCCGATCGGTTTGAATTTTTTTTTCAAATCCGATCCAATCCGATCCAATTTTTTCGGTTTGGATTGGATCGGTTTTCGGTTTTTTGAAAAGCCAAAAAAACAAAACTTAAAAGAATTATTTTTAAAAAAGTGGCGATGTTTCAAAACATTTCAAAATTCAAACGGTTATCAGAATTGGTTCACATGTCTTGTACATCAGTTAAAGGCTCAAAGATTATGTCACAGCCACACAAAATCAAAGATTATGTGAAACGGTTATCAGAATTGGTTCACATGGATTAGAAGCAGAAGAACTGCAGCGAACGCGAGAGATCTTAAAAACGTTATGTCACAGCCACACAAAATAAAAGGCGATTGTTTGAAACCAACGAAAAATGAAGGAAAATATTATTGCTTCATCACACGAATAACGGGAAGAAATTTAGAAATCTGCTTTGCTATACCTTTATCATGCCCTTGATGCAAATAAAATCAAGTGTTATAGTACCTTTGTTATATGTTTATTTGATTGTTTAACGAAAGAGACAAACGTTGATTTTTGAGAAGAAAGAGATATGCTACTGGTGCCAGAGCGTGAGTGACTGAGAAGAGTGAGAGACTAAGAGGACGGCAAGAGTGAGTTTGGATGGATTAGGTTTAGAACTTTGGGTGGGTTTAAAACTGATGGGCTAACGCACGGGTGGGTTTAAAACTTTGGGCCGGCTATTATTTGGGATAGGTAATAGGTATAATTTGGTAAAAAAAAGTTTGGATTGGATCGGTTTTCAACATCAAAACCGAAAACCGATCCAATCCAGTAATTTTTTTCGGTTTTTTTCGGTTTTCGGTTTTCGGTTATTTCGGTTTTCGTTTTTTCGGTTCTGTTTTTGCGGTTTAAATCGGTTTGGATCGGTTTATGAACACCCCTACTAATGTGACTATGTGTGAATGCATATGTGACCTAATAATATAAAAATCCTAAAGTTAAAGTAACTTAGGGTTTCCAACTAAAACTAATTAGGAATTGCTAATTAAACACACTTTGGTTAAATGAAAAGTTTTTAGGATAACTTTGGTAGAGCATATCTCCCTCCACAGAGGTCCAATAAGATGTGCCATAAGTCATTTTAAAGCTCGAAATGTCAGCTATATTGTGTCAAAATTTGGTATGATTTGAATATGTGTAGCGTTAGTAGAGATTGGCCAGGGAGATCATGTGAAGGGGCTGAACG